CAAATGCCTGATGAATTTGACCATCAGCAGGGGAAGAGAAAGAAAGAAGAAATATAAAACCTGTTTTAAGGAGATTTTTAAAATTTTCTGGTCAGAGAGTGCCATTTATATATTCTCAAACGTGGGGGTTTCTTTAATTAAAAATGTGTGTGTGTATTCCTGCGTTCACTGTTCCAAAAGGTAGGAACTTCAAAGCTCCTATAGAGGCAAGTCCGTCTATGGGCCAGATTCAGCCATGGCATAAGCAGGTGGAATTCCAGTTGGGTTCTGGGGTCGTAGTTTTCTTTACATTGTGAGATGGCTGTAAACTTAAACTCAAGTGCTGTGCGTGTGAACTCAGTGAACCATCATCAAGCCAGGTACAACTGTTTCTAGAGTGAATTTTCTCAGTAGCCAGTGACATTGGAGAATCTGAAGGATCAGGACAGTGATTCCACTGGAGGAGAAGAGCAGGTAACCGATGGCCTAGAGACCATTGTGCTGTCTTTGTTGATGTGGGAACAGAAGGGTTATTGACCTCTTTATCCTGGAGCAATTGCTGCTGCTCAGGATGTTTGCAGACAACTCAAAATTCTGTGGTCTGGCTCAGATTCTTTGGCAATTTTTGTGAGATTGCAGAGCGCTCCAGGCTCTGGCTATAGGCTAGTATTGGGTCTCATTGGGAAAACTGCATGAGCAAGGATTGCACAGAGGTAGTCTTGCCTTCCCTGGCTTTGTGCATAGCAGTCCCTCACAGCTCCAGTATTTATACTTAGGGCTACGTCTAGACTGGCAAAAAGCACTTTTTGCGGAAAAGCGTCCGTGCCAATCTAGACGCGTTTTTGTGCAAAAAAGCCCCGATCTCCATTTTAGCCATCAGGGCTTTTTTGCGCAAAACAATACTGTGCTGTCTACACTGGCCCTTTTGTGCAAATGATTTGCGCAAGAGGGCTTTTGCCCAAACGGGAGCAGCATAGTATTTCCGCAAGAAGCACTGATTTCAGACAGTAGGAAGTCAGTGTTCTTGCAGAAATTCAAGGAGCCAGTGTAGACAGCTGGCAAGTTTTTCTGCAAAGCAGCTGATTTTGCAGAAAACTTGCCAGTCTAGACACTGCCGAGAGGAAGTAGCCTGGGGTGTGCAATACAATGGCAGCAGTTCGTCAGGGTTAATCCCTGGAGGGCTGCCGCTATGTTTACTTGCGCCTCAGCTAGTACCAGTAATTGCAGCTCCCATTGGCCACAGATCGGTATTCCTGGCCAATGGGAGAGGCAGGAAGTGGTGCAGACTGGGACTGGCAACCCGTGGCCAATGGGAGTTGCGGTCACCTATGGGAACTATGGTAACTATAGCAGTGGGGACTCGCCAGGGACTACCCCTGGTGGTCTAGATCCAGTCTGTGGGCCGGTATTTGCACACCCCTGAACTAGACAGAATATTCAATGGGACAAAAATGAGAGAGAAAACCGATTCCTTCCGTGGGATAGCACAATGATGCTTTTTCACACAGTGACCAGTGTATGGTGCTGCTATTCATTATCTGCTGTTATTTATTAGTATTACTGTAGCATCTAGGAGCCCTAGTCATGGGCCAGAACCACATTGTTCTAAGTCACATACAAACTCAGCCTCCTTATCCTAAGATGTACAAAAAAACCTCTACACCCCACCTCTGCCCTTAGAAATACAAAAGACAGAAAAGTCTTGTGTTTCGATTCTGCATTTACACAAGTTTGTTAATCAATTAAATTCTGTAGCCACCACGGATTGTGCATCCTCAACTGCTTCCCTTTGCTTATTGCTCTGTGAATGATCTCAAATACTAGAGCAAGTCATGGGTAAAATTAGTCCCTGGGGTGGTGTGTTTTGTTTTGTTTTAAGGTACAGGTTGAACCTCTCTAGTCCAGAATCCTTGGGACCTGACCAGTTCTGAACCAGAGAATTTTCTGCACCACATGGCTACGTCTAGACATGCAAAGCAGGCAAGTCAGAATAGGGAAAACCGCGGGGGATTTAAATATCCCCTGCGGGATTTAAATAAACATGGCCACCACTTTTTTTCCGGCTTGGGGAAAAGCCGGAAAAGAGCGTCTAGACTGGCGCGATCCTCCGGAATAAAGCCCTTTTCCGGAGGATCTCTTATTCCTACTTGCAAGGAATTCCCTATTCTGACTTGCCTGCTTTGCATGCCTATTCCGTCTTATGTGGCCAGTCTAGACGTAGCTCATAAGTTCAATATTGTGTAGCAGCATTGCCAATACTTCCATTGCTTACTAGGCTCTTAGAAGACATTTGGAGATAAATTAGAGCTAAACAGCACAGAACATTGAGAGCCAGGACTGGTGGCTATAAACAAACTTTTTGACAGCTGATCACTGATCTTTCACTAATCACTTAGGTCCTGATTCTGCCGACCTCATTCACACTGAAGAGAGTTTTAGGTTCCAGTTCTGCTCTGATCTCTTCTCAGAGTTCATTGTAGGCTCAAAGCCCATTTATCTAAAGAGAGTTCTTGGAGTAAAGATAGCAGAATTGGATCCTTATCAGATAGAAAAAAAAAACCCTTAACTGTTCCCATTCCCATTTCCTTTTCATCTTTCTTTTGGCTTTACATTTCTTATAACTTTTTTTTTTAAGTAGAATCTCCACACTTGATATCCAGGCTTCAGAGATGCTAATATCCTGAGTTATCCTATTGCTTCAAATATCCATCCCTACTTTTGCATGCTAGTGCTCATAAACATATTGAAGTATGTTGGTAATTTGCTTAATCAAAGCTGCAAAACATTACTGCCACAGGTGTTCCTCAAGAGATGATGACAGCCAGTCAAGAAACTGATGCCACCTTGCCAGTCATGACCCCACCATGCTTTGCTATACAGGAAACCACAAGAGAAACAAGTGTGACCGAGGAAGAAAGAAAGGGAGGAACCCTGATACCGACTGTTTCTAGTGTGGCCCAGCTGTTGAAAAAGTCAGAACACTCTGACGCTACCAGCTCCTTTACTGCTACCTATTTGTCTATTGCAAAAACCCCAGATGCTGAAGGTAGGATTTTGTGCTTTCATTTCTCTACAAACTTTCCTTTTTTTCTTTAGGATAAATACAATGTTACTGGTCTTGTCCCTGAGCCAGAAACAACTTTAATTGAGATGCCTCCTGATGCACATTATCGGCTGATTAATTTCATTGCAAAACATGCTTGCCGTGTTGAATATTTGTAGCGTATTGTCCTCCTCTCTATGGATTGGTTCTGTTCTTCTGGGGTCTAGTTTACATTACAAAACCAAAGTCCCTGTGTAACTTGGCTATGGCCAAGTGGGGGGGGGGGGGGAGTGAAGGGGTGCAGAGAAATCTGTTCCGAATTGTCTTAGAGAACTTGGTTTCAATCTTGATAGATAAAACTCAGTTCTCTAACATCACTTTTGATTCTTCTCACAAGCAAGAATCAACCATCGACAGGGCTGGCCTTATCATGAGGCAAACTGAGGCGGCCACCTCAGGTGCAGAACAGAGTGGGGGGGTGCCACTAGGACCCAGAGTGTAGAAAATTGTGTCTGCTGCTGGTGCATATGTAGGTAGCAGAGCAGTACCATGAGAGGAGTAGAACAGGGAGGCTACGTCTACACTGGCCCCTTTTCCGAAAGGGGCATGCTAATTTTAAACTTCAGAATAGGGAAATCCGCGGGGGATTTAAATACCCCCCGCGGGATTTAAATAAAGATGTCTGCCGCTTTTTTCCAGCTTGTAGATAAGCCGGAAAAAAGCGTCTAGACTGGCCCGATCCTCCGGAA